GTTTGAACACCCCTGTTTTTTTTTCTAAAGTGTTAGGGGTGCAAGCATCTTGTAACTTGACAGCTTTAAGACTTGTGGACTTCAACTCCCAGAATTCCTCCTCTCGCTCTTCATCTTGATGATGTGGGGACGGGCAGGGGGAGGGAGCTGGAACCGGTTCTAAATTGCACTGTAGATTTGTGGAAGCTCTTCTATATAAGAGGTTAGAACTGGCAGGAACCCACCCCTGACTCCGTCCCTCATTCCCATGAAAATGGTTTTGTTTTGTTTTGTTTTGCTTTGTTTTGTTTTGTTTGGCTCTGCTGCATTTTGACATCCAGATTTCTTGCATGCAAACTCATTATTTGATTGTTTTGTCCCCCTTCTCTTTTGTTTTGGTCTTTGCTTCCAGGCACGGTTTTCAGTTAAGCCCCTCTGTGTATTTACATCCAGCTTTAAGGTAACTTCATATCTGTGTTCCTCCCACTTGTGCAATGAAATCCTTTATTCCCCACCTTACATCCCTTCAGTGATTTGTGGTGCTGTATATGTTATAACATGTTTCTTACTTCTACAGCTGAGTGAGCATGTGCCTCCCCATGTGGCCTTTCCTTTTCCTTCTCTTTTCATTGTCCCTTTTCTTTCCTTCTTTCTTAACATCCCCTCCCCCCCACTTTGGCACTTTTGATCAGTGGGACTTGCAATTCTGTTCCTATGATCTAAAATCAGGGTTTCTCAATCTGGACACTCTTAAGATATGTGGGCTTCGACTCCCGGAATCCCCCAAATTCTGCTCACAGCCTGGATTTCGATCCTGACCAGCTCAGGATTGACTCTACCTCCCATCCTGGTAAAATGAGGAGCCAGATTGTTGGAGGCGATATGCTGATTCTGGAAACCACTTAGAGAGGAGCCACTCTGGAGCAGTATATAAATCTAAGTGCGATTGCCATCTACAACATACAGTGTCAAGACTATTACAGCCACTATGTAGGATAGCTAGGCAAGGCCAGCAGAGCACACCGATGAACATCAACCAGCAGTCAGAAGACATGATGAAAACTCCTTAATCTCATAACATATGAAAGCCACCACTGGCCCTAAAACCCAAGTTTAAAACTAGTAAGCTGAAGAAGTGATAGAGTGGGCAATCCATCCTGGAATTGTTAATGCTCTGTCAGTGTTGTGGCCCGCCGGTAGCCAGCAGAGCTGAACAGTGAGGAGGTTGGGGAGGAACATGGGCCAGTTCTGGAGGCTGGGGAAGGCTCGGATGAGGGCTCTTCATTGGAGGCAAAGAGGGAGCCAAGGCTGCCTGACAGTTCTCAGCTGCCTTCAGAGCTAGACAGCAGTGAGGGAGAGGAACAGTTGGAGCCTGTTCCCAGTGTGCGCATGCACAGAGCTGCCAGAAGAAAAAAACAACTCAGAAATCAGGGTCAAACTAGAGAATAAGACCAAAGGTGGACGGTGAATGGCCACTCCCATAAGAAATAAAAGAGGAGCAAAAGGGGAGTGGGCTTTTGCAGGAAACCGTTCGTTCATTCGTTTTAGGAGTGTGAAGATCTGTCCGTGAATCTGAAAGACTCTGTGCCAAGTCTTTCCTTGCACAGCACTGCGTTTGGAAAATATTTACATGGCAGCTTTCCAAGCTAGATAAGGTCTATGGTCATAACTTCACCTTTGAAAGACTGTTTACCAGGCCCTGGCTGAATGTGAATGAGAGGAATTCACATTCGTTTAATAAAAGTGTTTTTGTCGGGATCAGGAATCTGTTTCATGCTTTTGGGGGAAACCTAGGTCAGAACATTATCTGACAGATTGCTTGGCTGGTATGCAGTTAGGTAAGACTTTTCTGATCTTTCTGTCTGAGTCTATACATCATGTAGGGAAGCTGATGGTCCCTGCGTTTACTTGTATCAGCCACTGCTTCCTCATTCTCTAACTATATGAGGGCACCTTCGGAGCTAGTCAGGTATCTGGTGCAAAGGCTGGGTTTATCACTCTGGCTGGAGAGAGTGTTGAATAGAAATCAGATATTTCCTAGAGATGTAATGAAGAGCTATGCAAAAAGGAAAGGCCCAGTTAAGCCAACAAACTTGAAAGCCCAGAAAAATTAAAACATGGTTGCTTCAAGATAGACTCCTTCTGCAAATGGAGGTTCTCATTATAGCTGACCCGTTAAGCAATTGTTAATGGATCCCTTGCCATACTTATTTTACATTCTCTTTTAAAACCCATTGATGGCATCGAGGTGTTTCCATACCAACAAGTCTATCAAGCTCACTATTTTAATTCTGGGTATGTTTTCACACAACTTGACTTGGCCTGATAAAAAAAAATGAGCAGCTGTATTTTCATGGTGTGTTGCTGAACATACTTGGCATTTGTCATTATTAATTTGGTTTGTGTGTGTGGCTTGCTGTGTTGTTTGAATCCAAGTCAGTTGACAACTTTGGGGCTCAGCACATTATGCGAGTCCAAAAAAATTAATTATTTTGGTAACTGAATTAAATGTGTTATGTAAATACAGCAGGTAGCTGACTGACTCCTCAGATATTTTTGGCACAGCTGTTTTTCCTATATGCAGAGAGGTCTGAGACTGAATGTTAAGCCCATTGGATCCGAAGTACATGCGCTGCTGTTGAGCGTATCAATAAAGGAAGATTCTAGTCCTCTTGATTTCAGATAACAATCTTTTCTGCACTTGTCAACACTTGCTTCTCCAAATGTAATTTTTGTTTGTTTGTGGAACCAGACGGTTTTTCTCAACTTCAACACGTGTTTGTTTTCAACTCCCACAATTCCCCAGCCAGAAATACAGGTAGTCCTTGACTCACGTCCACAGTTGAGCCCAGAATTTATGTTGCTGAGAAATTTGCTAAGTGAGTTTTGCTCCATCTTATGACTTTTCTTACCACGTTTGTTAAGAGAATCACTGCAGTTGTTCAGTTAGTAACACGGTTGTGAAGTGAATCTGGCTTCCCCGTTGATTTTGCTCATCAGAAAGTCACCAAAAGAGATCAGGTGACCTGGGGACACTGCAGCCGTCATAAATATGGGTCAGTTGCCAAGCTTCTGAGTTTCAATCACCTGGCCATGGGGGACGCTGCCTAATGGTCATGCGTGTGAAAACTGGTCCTAAGTCACTTTTCTCAGTGCGATTGTAACTTTGGTCACTAAATGAACTGTTGTAAGTCGAGGACTACCTGTAGTGTATGTGCTTCTGCAGTTAAATTGGACGAAGCAAATAGCTTTCAACAGGGATGGCTTCTTGAATGTGATGATGTATTCTTCCTCTTGATGGTGTTTAGAAACCAAGGAAGCCGGGAAGGGATGAAAGACCCAGAACTGCCCGACTTGAATGAAGATGAGACGACCACTTGAACCCCCTCAAATCACACGGACTGATCATCCAGCTACTGCTGTAACTATTGTAACCGGTGGTGTTGTCTTGCACGCCATGCTGTTCTCATCAACCGGGCTTCGTGATCTGTGGGAGAGACAGAAGACATAAGCGCATCGCTAAGAACTAAAGCAGCAAACCCCCAACTCAAGAAACGGTGCGCTGAATAGCTAATCCTTCATACAACCTGCTGCCTGCATTTTCCCCCCCACACACACACCATATAAGACATTTCGATGTTGTAAACTTGAGATGTGCCTCTTCCTGCTGTGTTTCATGTTGTGGTAACGTGTTTTTGGTCAGTTTTGCTGAATGTCCCTTGCTAGGAGCTGCTCCGTTCAAAGTCCTATTCCAGCTCTAAATTAGGGCATGAGCTATTAAAGCAATCGGGATTGCAAGCCCAGGTTATCCCTCAACACATTATAAACCTTTTCACCTCTCTTAACTGCTGGCTCAAGGGCGCCCGTTAACTTTGGCTTGTTTTGAAATGCAACAACAATACAGTAGCCCGTGCGGTAAGTATTCAGCTTGTTTTGCTTCGGCATGTTTCCTAAGTTGCGCATGGCTGTATAGGTTGGAACATGCCCAGTGAGGTTGCTAAAAACTAGAAAGACTTCTGGATTTCTCCTCCTTTAGATATTTCCCCCAATTCTGAATTGTCTGCTCATTTCCAGATATTCCAAATTAAGGGAGCTAAGATGACAGTTTCCCCTTGTCTTCTGCCTTTCTTCCCTTTTGCACATGGAAAAGGGCTAAAGCTCAGTGGGAGGGTAGATAGTTTTCTGCATGCTTTTGGATCCAAATCCTGGGCCCATCTTCTTATGGAACTGAGACGGCTTCTTCTGTGAGATGAGGAATGCTGCTGCTGGCCAGAACTGACAATAACTCTGCCAGATGATTCGTGGTTTTTGACTTCACATAAGTTAGCATCATATGTTCCGTCCAAATGATAGCCAAAAAAGCAAACTTGACGTTATGTAAGCAGTGGCTAAGCCTATGCCATGTGAGAATTCTGCTCCTAGAGACGTCAGCTTTTTATTCCATGTTCTCATAGAACTGGGTATGTTTGGATTATTGAGCTAACTTATTTCTGCGTCAGCCACTGCAAAGGAAAAAAAACTGCAAGATTTCAATGTTTTAAGTAGGAAATAACTTGGAGTTCTGGGGATTGAGGAAAAAGTCGGGTTTTCCCCCCATTTATTCCTGATTCTTCTTACCTCCCTCCATCTCAACTCAAAGCTCTTATGATAGATTTCACTGGCTATCCTGTCAGTAAACTTCCCCTTCATCTTTCTTGTCTAAATATTTAGGAGAAATTGCAGCGGGGAAAATGGTGCATGGGCCATAAGTTTATTTTGTGGAATTGTTTATCAGCATTACAGGAGCCTCATCATAACATCATGCAAAAAAATAAATAAATCTTGATTCAGTCATCCGCGTAATCAGGATCAAACTTAATGGGATGTAGAGGGAGCTTTTTCAACTTTACCACTGCACCAGTAGATCTGTTCTAGTGGCATAATTAATTGTAGAAATGTTCATTAAACCAGATTCGTTCATTCCTGTGGGTTGAAATAAACACACACAGGATATACACCACATATAACATGCCATTGCAAACCGTCAAATTTAATAACTGGAATGCATTTCTCAGAAGTTTGCCTACAGCTATGACTCTCAAGGCAGAAAACATTTCCAAAGCCATTTTCAGGTCAGAGGGCCTGTCCCTTCAGCAGATAGTTGCCTGCCTGCCTTGATTTGTGCAGTCTCAAAGAATCTGTCACTGTCTATTGATCATCTGCCAATAGACACAATGAGAGCCAAATGTGGAGGGATATATCCCTTCCCACATCCAGGATACATTTACAGTATAGCAAACCCTTTTAGTTCCCGTCAGAATTTTATTTTTGAATAACAGAATAACACAGTTGGAGTCCAACTCCCTACTCAGGCAGGAAACCCTATATACCTGTGATGGAGAACCTATGGCACGTGAGCCGGAAGTGGCACACAGAGCCATCTCTCCGGGCACGCAAGCTGTCACCCGTTGCTCTTCCGGGTTCTGGCGTGACGGCCCGCTGGTCTTCACACGCGCGGGAGCAATGTAAACTGCATGTGCCTGCCAGGAAGATGATCTTCTGATTTCCAGTCCGCACATGTGCACCAGCCAGATGGTCTTTGCATGCACATGCATGCCAGAAACCAGAAGAACAGGTGGGCGGCGTTCATGCGTGTGCCGGAAACTATAAGATTATCTTCCCAGCGCACACCAGAAACTGGTAAACCAGGTGGGCGGTGTGCATGTGCGTGCTGGAAACTGGAAGATCATCTTCCCAGTGCGCACATGTGCACTAGGCTGCTGCTCTTCCGGTTTCTGGCATGCACACGCACACTCCTGTTTCAGCACTTGGTGCCGAAAAGGTTCACCAGCACTGCTGTATACCATTTCAGACAAGTGGTTGTCCAATCATTGTTCCTGCAACAAGTTTAGCCCATCACTTGATTAAGAGCAAACTTTTGCATTCTGCATTGTAAGTCTATAAAGACGCTTATTCAGAATCACACACATTAGGACTCTAAAGAATACAGGGAAGTAAGTGGTGAGGAGTTTCATTCTCTACTGGTTATCGGGATGTTGTACCTGGGTTCTGCCACAGGGATGAGCAACCTGCAGTGGTGTTGAAGTTCTCATTCTCACCAGAATAATCTGGGCTGCATTCGTACCAAGTTGATTGAGACTAAAGGGGACCTTGTTGGGATAGAACTAAAAATGGTGATGCCACCAATTCTTTCCCTTTTTCACACCTCCACCCCACAATTTCTTGTTTTACACTCAATTTTCTCACTCTTCCTCCTTATATTGAAATGGGGAGGAATTTATTACCCTAACCAGCATCCAAATTGACGCTTTACAAAGAGAATTTGAACTTCTAAGCAAGGGCTTTATGAGACTATGACAAAGACTACATGCGGCATAAGGGCTATTGGTTGCCCAGAGTATTCTACTAAGTCTGGGATTGTTTATTCAGATGTGTTTAACCTGGTAACCAAGTTCATCTGTTTTGAGGTTTGCACAGCTCATGAATTATGATCTAGCAGAACAGACTGGGTTCTATTAAAAAATAAACAAACCTTAGCATATTGTGTCAATGCTCCATTAGGTTTAGTTAACTAGGTTAATGTACATTTGAACACAGCTTGGCGTTTTTTGTTACATTTTCCTGTACAAAGCAAAAAACATTGAAGACCTTCCAAACCACTTATGTTGCTTCTTTATAATTCTGCCAATCTAATATCTCTCTGAGATTTACACTCAACATATCACAGCTTTTACAATAGTAAACTTAAAGCTTGGGTATATTTAGAATTGGCTTCCAGATGGTAAGAGAATAATGGCAGGGACTTACAAAAAGGAGAACAGATTCTGACCTGCTTCTGGGGCATGTGCTTCAATGTGTAGAAATCCAGGTCATTTTGAGATAATCCTATTTTTATATGTATGACTGATGCTTAAATTAAGGCATGGAAAGATGGCCTTTGTGTGTTTTGTCTTCATTTATAAATCCGTCTCATATTCTCATCAGCAAATTCAGAATTATTTTTTTATTATGTTTAATATTTTAAGGCATTATGATAGGCATTTGGGTTTGTGCATTTAGCTAAGAAACGCATGACAAAATTTGGAGATGTTCAAAAACCAAGTCTTTCTATAATCCCACATATTTGTCTAGCAACTATGGTTAATTTGGTTAAAAAAAACATAACTTCAAAATTATGTCTTCAGGTACCTCTGTAAAAAAAAAAACACCTGTTGCCAAAAATGTATTCCATTATTATGTAAATATTATGAAGCAGTTGCTGTCCTTGTCCTTCCCCTCCCACATTAAAGTTGATTTTAACAGTTATTCAAACATATAGCAAATTATTTGATTTTCAGGATCGTGGGACACATATATGCACAAATCATTTGATTTTCCTCTGTTTCTCATTTGCAAGCTACCCAAACGTTGATTTTGAATTCTATTCAACTTTCGAGAAGACCAGAGAGAAGAAATGTTCTCATCTTTGTAACAGAGCATTTAAGAAACCACAAAACTATCAGGGGGGGGGGGGTATCTACAAAGATCTTCAGCTGGTTATTAAATGGCATCTTTGTGAGTTCTTGAATAAGAATGCCACAATTAACAGGATCTGGCCTCGTTTGTAACCAATCAATTCTCCCAAACTAAACTTACCAATACTTTTTTTTTGGGGGGGGGGGGCAGAGCTACTAGTTAAGAATTCTCCACTGAGTACATCCTGGCTGGAGACTTCTGGGAATTGAAATCCATATATATCCTAAAATAACAGGTTGAAAAACTTTGTTATAGAGATATGGTACCTGGAACTCAACTCCACAGAGTCTGTCATGATAATCTCCATAATAAAATGGTAACACACTGGTTGGATGATACTACTGTTAAATGTACTCCCAGTTGGCTGAATAACCACATCCGAACACCCCTCATTAATAGCTCCACTTCAGTCTGGAAAGAAGTATTGTGTCAAATGCCACAGACAGATGTGGTAGCGGAAATTTTGAGTAGTTCGGCGAATCGGCAAATACCACCTCCGGCTAGCTCTGCACCCATCTATTCGCTGCCTCCCAAGTCCCAGCTGATCAGCTGGGTCTCCTTCTGTTGCCCTGCACAGGAGAAGGAGCTGGAAAGCAGGTTAGCGGGGTGGGGAGGGAATGGGGATTTTGCAGTATCCTTCCCCTGCCACACCCACCAAGCCAGGCCACACCCATAGGGCTGTGTCTGGGTCATGGGTTCAGCACAGTTACCATAACATGATTGAAAGACTTGGAAAAGGGGCATATCAAATTTGCAAATGGCACATTGATGGGAGGGAAAGTTGTTACTTTACAGGTATTCCTCACTTAGCAAGGGAGGTGGGTTGCTGTCGGTTCGGCCCGGTTCAGGAATTCAGACCTGGGTCACAGAACCGACAGTGACCCAGGCCTGAAATTCCCCTAAACTAGTTCTCCGGTGTCTTCTACCATTACTGGCATGGTTCTGCGCATGCACAGAGCAATTTTAGTCAAATGCGTATGCGCAAGCAATGCACAGCTGGTAAAGCACAATGCGCAGTGAACTGGTACTAACCGGTTCAGGAACCCACCCCTGCTTAGCAACCATAATTGGGACCAGCAGTTGCATTGCTAAGCATTACAGTCACTAAGCAGACGATCATGTGACTGCAGTGGACTTATGATATCACTTCCCATTTGGTCACTAAGCAAGTCACCTTAGTCATTTAACAAACTATCACTGCCATATGCAACTTTACTTTCACCTCCTCCATTAATTCTGTTAGTCACAAGCCAGTCGGGAAGCAGACAAATGGTGAGCACATGACCCCAGGAACTGTGAAAGTCAAAATGCGAGGATTGGTCACCAAAGTTGTTTTTTCCCTCTCAATATTAACTTTGAACGGTTACTAAACAAGGCAGTTGTTAACCAAGGACTAGTTCTGAAGCAGAAAGAAGATTCAAAAAGAACTAGACAGGCTTGAAGAGTGAGCTGAAATAAATAGGATGGAACTTAAAAAGGAGAAGCATAAAATACTACATCTGGACAGGAAAAATTAGGGCAAAATATAGTTTGGAGCAGACCTGGCTTGGCAATAGTGAACAAGATCTAGGTGTTCTTGTTGACCAGAAGTTAAATGTGAGTCAGGAGTGTAATGCAGCTGTAAAAGTCAAATGTTA